AGAGATAAAAAAATTGAATAAAACCAATAAATAATAAACGTAACAACAGCCTTTGCCTCATTTTTTTAAATTGAAGAATATCTCTGGTATCAATAAGGGTCGCATTTGCAATTTTTGAGCTAAAGTTTGACTGGATTGCATAAGCTCGAGTAAAGATACTGATGAGGACTCCTCTTCTTCTTGTTTTGGTAATTCACTTTCCTGATCAGAAATAACGATTGTCGGTGAAAAATGTGTTGTATCTGTAATACCTGCAAGACGTTTTGCTGCTGCAATGGCATCTGGTAAATGGCCTAAATGATCAACAAGTTCATGAGTTATAGCCTGCTGCCCAAGCCAAACACGTCCACCTGCAGACGTTTCTAGTTTATCTAAACTAAGCTCGCGGCCTTTTTCGACAACTGCTAAAAACTGTTTATACACACGATCAATACTTTGTTCTAGCTGTTGTCGTTGTTTTTTTGTTAGTGGGCTAGCATCACTAAATAAGTGTGCAAACTGACCTCGTTTTAAATAGTCTCGTTCAATTTGTAATTTAGCAAAGAGGCCTGAGGTAACAAGTTTCATCGCAACAACACCAATAGAGCCTGTTAAAGTAAGAGGTGCTGCATAAATTTCTTGTGCTGCTGCAGCAATATAATAACCACCAGAAGCAGCAACATCCCCCATACAAACGATAAGCGGTTTTTCTTCAGCAATGGTTGCAGCTTCATGCCAGATAGCATCTGAAGCTGCAGCCGAACCGCCTGGACTATTGATATATAAAACAATGGCAGAAATACTATCATTATTAGCAGCAGAACGTAGGTTCGCGATAATGGTTTCAGCTCCTGCTGTAACATCTGGCATAAATGGCATAGGTGCCGACATAGGATTGCGGCGAGATCGCCCAGGAGCAATGACACCCTCAACAGCAACAAGTCCAATACAATGTTCAGAACGCCAGCGTAGAGGTTCTAAAAGATGCTGTGTTGCTTTTGTGCCAGAGACAATAAACGGTATTTTTTTACAAGCTGTTTTTTCTTGAATAATTGCTGGTAAATCTCTTTCATAACCAGTTTGATCAACTAGACCTGCTGTAGCTGCTTCTGTTGGCGTTGTTAAACCACGGTCAATAAAGCTACGAACAGCTTTAGGTGTGAGGTCTCGTGCGGTAGCAATATCTGAAAGTAACGTTTCATATTGTCCATCTAAAAGCCAGTCAAGCATTTCCCGCTGTTCTGGTGACATACTATTTCTAGCGAGACTATCCCCGGCAGTTTTATAGGGAGAGACTGCTAAGACCTCTGCTTGGATCCCTAGTTTTTCTAGAGCATCTGCAAGAAAGATACCGCCAACACGCAAGCCTAAAATATGCCAATCTGCTGATGCTGGAATCACGATTGTTTCGGCAGCTGTTGCAACGTAGTAGCCTAGCAAATCTCCTTGTGTTAAGTAGGCAAACGTATTCAGACCTTGATCTCGCGCTTGTTGAATCGCTTTGCGCAGCGCTTGAGCTCTGGCCCAGCCCACCTGTAGATCTTCAATTTTGAAAATAATACCTTGCAAGCGTTCATCAGCTTGTGCCTGTTTTAAACAATCACGTAATTCCATTAAGTTTGTGGTTGCTTGTTTGCCTGGGCGTAATTGTGATAACAGCTTTTGCCACCAAGGGCGCTGTTGAGGTAGTTCTGGTAGATCTCCTGTTAATGGAATCAAAATATAATCTAGACGCTGATGAATAAGCTTACGAATAAAATTACGTAAAATAATCCAACCATTACGCCAGTAGTCACCAAACAGACGAACAGCCTTTGTAATTTTTTTACGTTCGAATATTGTTTTGATAGCCTGCATACTAAGAGGCCTCCAGTCTGCCAATAATAGGTAAGTCCATAAATACTTCCTCTTGATGGGGGGCTTTTGCAAGTTCGTCCGTTAAATCTTGCCCCGCCCAGTGTTCATAATGTTTACCATTACGCCAAAACCGACTATGGGTTACATCATAGATTAACCCTTTATAAGCAATCCAAATATCGGGTTTGTCCTGACCATTACGTAAGGCGAAGATACGTTCAGAAATGAATTCCAAATCTTTTGTATCTTTCATGAGTTTAGCTCATTTGATATGTGTAAGCGACGATCATCCCAACTGTTGAACATAGATCTAATATCTTGAACACGTTTAGGAGTTATCTCTGCTAAGGTTATACCTGGTTGGTCGTCCATAGTCGCAGAGATCTCTCCCCAAGGGTCAACAACAGTACTGCAGCCAGGAAATACCAAATTTCCTTTGGCTGAGAGGATCGTTCCCGTACGATTGACACCAATCATATAACAGAGATTTTCAATCGCTCTACTACGTAATAGCGTTTCCCAGTGATCTTTTCTTTCTGTTGGCCACTGTGCAATACAAATAAAAACGTCTACACCCTGGGAACGCAAAACACGATAGAGTTCTGGAAATCTAAGGTCATAACAAATAGTAAGGCCGAATGTAATATTTCCTAAAGTACAAGATACAATTTGGTCTCCAGATCCAAAGCGTTGATGTTCATTCATCAAACTAAAAAGGTGTAATTTGTCATAATGACAAATTACCGAGCCATTAGGGTCGATAACATATAAAGTATTGAATAACGTACCAGTCTTTGAGTGACGTGGTAGTCCTCCAATCGCATAGATCCCGAGCTCTGAGCATTGCTGGCACCAAGATGTTAAGACTTGTTGCCAGTAGTTGTTACTAGAGTCTATTTCCAGAGCGTCGCTATAGCTACGAGGCCACATCTCAGGCAAAATGCATAACTTAGCACCTTGTTTAGCTGCTTGAGACAATAAATCAAAACCTATTGTAAGGTTACTGTCTAGACAGTCTTGCTGAGGAGAGTTTTGTACTAATGCGATTTTCATATAGTTGTTTAAGTAATAAATAAATTTATATGATTTACTAGTGTAATAGTAAATCACAGTAAAATAAAAATGATGAGCCATTCTACGCGTTATCTTTTTTATCAGCAATTGTTGATAAGTTTAGTAATTGGGCTAAACCTTAGTTGTGCAACAAACAAAAACTACAGAGTTATGTTGCAATCTTGGGTTGGTAAAGATATTTCGCAAATGAAAATGTATTGGGGGGAGCCTGACCATAAAGATGTTCGCCTAAATGGAAATTCTGTTTATGTCTATATTGAACAAGAAAGTCAAGAAAAGGTACTTTTCAGTATCCCACCCTATAAAACAGCGCTACAATCGGGTAATCATTTTCGTTTAATCAGCCCTCATAAAGAGCGTTCTAAAAGTAATAGTGATCGTTTTTTCTGTCACACATATTTTGAAATAGATCAGCGGCAACAAATTGTCCATGCTAGGTTTGAAGGTAATGTTTGTAACACAGAGTAATATGTTAAACAGGTTTGTTCGGTGGTTTTTTTTATGTAGCGTAGTCTTTATTATTGGTTGCCAAGATCGCCAAATAACAGAAAAAAAACAGTCAGGTCAAATACAAATAGAAAAAGATACCCAGTTAACTTCTCAAAAGAAACCTAAATTTGCAGAGGTTGGTATTGCTGAAATTTTGTTACCAGGAGACTCTCCTCCCAAAAACGGTTGGCCGGTAATGTTACTTTTCCATGGTGAAGGCCAGCGTCGTCAAGATGTTAGGGATTTTGCCAGAATCTTTGTTCAGGCTGGGTTTGCCGCAGTTTCTGTTTCTGCACCGGTTCCAGCACCTGATCGTAGCGTCTATTACTGGCCACCATTGGCAGGTTTCAAAATGGTCCAGTCCTATTTAGAGAGTGCCTTAACACCATTTTTGAATACACCCGATTTAAACCTTGGTAGGGTTTTTGTTTCTGGAATTCGAGAAGGTGGTTGGTATGCATTGTTAATGGTAGGTATCTTTCCCGAACGGTATGCTGGCGCTATAGCGCTTGGCCCAAAGACAAAACAACACAAGCTACCAAATGCCCCAGCTCCAAAGAATAGACCATTAGCGGTACTTGCTGCGTCAGACGATACTAAAGCCGTTTTAATGGCAGCCCATTTTGAGAAACTTTGGAAGCAAGGTAAAGTTCCGTTTCGCCGTGATATTATTGATACCGATCAGAATTACCGTGATCGTTGGCTAGTAACCTTATTTAAAGCTGCAACCTGGATAAAAGAAAAATCATCTTTTTCTCAGGGAGATCTCAACACATATACACCTAAATTTTTTGGGCAATAAGTATGATTACTATTCTATAGAGATAAACATAATCGTATATTTATCTCTATAGACGTATGCGAGCACCTAGTGCTAACTCAATAGAGTCAAATAGCTCTTGATCTTCAAAAGGTTTAGAGTAGCAGGCAACAAGATCAGGCATGTCTTTTTTTAAAGATTGTACAGCGATGGGGTGATGTAGGTTCATCGAAACAACAATAATGGGAGTATGACTAAGAGGAAATGGTAGCTTTCGGATCATTTGGTAAAGTTGATAACCACTAAGGTCCGGTAAGTGTAAGTCTAAGATGAGAACACCAACAGGTCCTTTTTTTTGTAGAATTTCAAGTCCTTGTTCACCGTTTTTAGCCAGTAATAAATCAAGAGAAGAATTTTCTAACGTAGCAAACATTCGTTCGTAGTAACTTAAAATATATTGATTATCATCAACAATGAGAATTTTGTGTCGTAGTTTTGTCATTTGAGCCCCCCTAATGACATAAATCATATAAAAATAATTATTTAAAATAAGCTTAGAATCAATAAGCTAGCAGTAAACATATGTAGCGTCAATTAATCATAAAGAATCGGATATCAATATTAACGTATTTTTACTATTGCTCTTAATAAGTTTTATCCAAGAAGAAATGTTTAGGCTTCTGAAGACTGTTACCCATATTAATTATATTGTTTTGACCGTCCAGGATATTGACAAAACAATCAATTTTTATCAAGTTGTACTTGGGATATGACTATAAAATAGTTCAATATAAGTAAAAGTAGAATTTTTGATTGGGCAATCAGAAAAGTGTACAGTTAGAGGCGGCGACCGGATTCGAACCGGTGAATAACGGATTTGCAGTCCGCTGCCTTACCACTTGGCTACGCCGCCTAAACAAGGTTGACAAAAAAGTATCTATAAAAATAGAGTCAATAGTGTAACAAATTCAAACTATTCTAGGAAGATATTTATAGGATCTTAGTTTGGTGGTTTCAGTCTGAAAAAAAGCTAGAAAACCAACTTTTGACCTGTTCCCAGATAGTTGCTTCTGTTTTCGCATAAAAAACTAATATTGAATTATTACTAGAATCTAGATAACGACTAAGTGGAATAAAAAATTCAGCAACATTCCAATTAACTGTTTCCGCATTTGTCTCCGAAATTTTTGTTGGCATATGAATTTTGAAACGTAGGCCTTTATCTTTTAAGTTTTTATTGTTCAAAATAGACTTTTGTAACGGGCTCTCGTCAATTCTCTGTTTCTTTTGTCGAAAGATAAGACGAAAAATTTTTTGACCATTTTCAACGTTCCAAGAAAACTGTAAATTTGGCTCATTTAAAGCAGAAATAGTTGTAAAGTCAAGGTGTAAACGCGCAAAGTGTGTCTCTTGACGTTGCCAGATATCAATATTTTTTAAGAATAAGCCTGTTCGTTCCGAAAAACGTTTTTGAAGTACGTTGCGATCAAAAGAGGTTTTCCCATTTTCTTTTTTGAAAAAAGTTGCTAATGGACCTGTTTCTGCAAACGTTTCCAGGGCAGAATAACTTGAGATTGCATTCCCTGAACCATCATCATTCAAAAAAATTTCTTGTTGAAATTCAAAACAACCAGATACAAATACTATAATTAAAAGCCATAATACCTGTCTTACAGCGAGAGATAGATATAATTGATATTTAGGGATAAATAATGCCAACATGACGGTATTAAAGAATATGTAATGTATTCTGTTACGTTACATATATTCTGCAAATAGCTTTCTATAACTATTCTAAAATTTTAAAGGCGCTTATGCAATGAAGCTTACTCAGGCGATATCGTCAAAACGTGACATATCTCCATTTTATGTGATGGAGGTTATGGCTAAAGCAGACAAACTAGAAGCAGAGGGGCAGCAGATTTGTCACTTAGAAGTTGGAGAACTAGATTTTCAGACGCCAAAAGAGATACAAGAAAGTACGATCGAAGCACTGCAATCAGGAGCTCAGAATTATACACATACACTTGGTAATAACGTATTACGTCAAGCTATTGCAACAAAATTTTTACAAGAAGATATTGTTGTAGAAATAGAGCAAATTCTTGTTTCAACAGGTACAAGCCCAATACTTTTTATGGTACTGGCAGCAGTTTTAGATGCTGGCGATGAAGTTATCCTTTTTGATCCTGGTTACCCTTGCTATGCTAATTTTGCCAAACTATTAAATATAAAAATACGGACTGTTAAATTGAAAGCCGAGGATGGCTTTCGGCCAAATCCAAATAGTTTACGACAGGCCATTGGACCTAGAACAAAAGCAATAATCTTATGCTCTCCCGCAAACCCTACAGGTGTTGTTTTAACACCAGAAGAGCTAGAAAAGCTTGCTGATCTAGGATGTTGGTTAATTGTCGATGAAATTTATCGTAGTATTGAATATGGTTGTGAACCAGTACCCTCTAGCCTAAAGTTAAACCGACCAAATATTATTATTGTAGATGGATTTTCGAAAAAATATGCAATGACAGGATATCGTTTAGGTTATGGTATTTTTCCTCGCATCTTAAAACAGAAAATACAGGTAATACATCAAAATTTGATGATTAGTGCTAACCCTTTTGTACAAGCAGGTGGTATTACAGCTTTGACACATCCGCAAGTTGAGTTGACACGTCAAGTATGGTTAAAGGAGTTACAGAAAAGGAGAGCGGTACTAATGTCAGGCCTTGATGTTTTGGGTATAAATATATTTGCTAAACCAGAGGGTGCTTTTTATCTACTTGCTGATTTTCGTTGGACGGGCAAAAAAAGTCTTACTTTAGCAGATGAGATTCTTGACCAGTGTGGTGTTGCTTTAACACCAGGAATTGACTTTGGTACACAGGCAGAAGGCTTTTTACGCTTTAGCTTTTCAAAATCTGTACCTATTATAGAAAAAGCGTTGACACGTTTAAATCAGTGGATTAAGGTTCAGTAATGGGACGCAAGAAACAGCCAGAGATTATCCAAATAGCGAAAACATTGAAACCGCCATGGCCACGTACAGACTTACCTCATCTCGCTATTGCCGGTCGTTCAAATGTCGGTAAATCAAGTTTGCTAAATTGCTTATTTAAACGACGTAAGGTTGCCGGCGTTAGCAAAACACCAGGAAAAACAAAAGCTTTACAATTTTATTTAGCTGACAATCGTTTTATCTTATGCGATTTTCCGGGTTATGGTTATGCACGAGTATCTAAAAAATTACGTGATTTCTGGCGTAGTAGTATTGAGAATTATCTAACAGAAGAAATATCACCAGTTGGTGTTTTTGTTTTACTAGATGGCCGACATGCACCAACAGACTTAGACCTTCAGTTAATCGATGCTCTTAATAGATATGAATTACCATTTCTACTTGTACTGACAAAGGCAGATAAAGTAGCACGTGGTAAAAGGAATGCCTATGCAAACCGTGCTGCAGTTTCTATTGGTGTTAGAACTGAGGACCTACTTTGGACTAGTGCAACAACTGGTGAAGGTATTATCGAATTATGGAAATCTATAGAACAATTAATTCAGGTATAAACCAGATAGATATCTTTATATTTAGAGTAGTTGTTGAAAAATGAATGCCTAGCCTAAAATAAGGTCTCGATCAAAAAAGACCTTAAGCAACGATGAACAAACCTAAAGAGAAAAAACGAAAAGCTGTAGTACTTTTAAGTGGAGGCCTTGACTCAATGTTGGCCGCGGCAATATTATTGCGGCAGAATATTGATGTTATTGGTTTACATTTGTATACCGGGTTGTGTATCACTGAGCATAAACGACGTACCGGTCAACATGATGCAAAAGGCCGTGTACCTCAAAATCCAGCCTTCAAAGTTGCCGACGACCTTGGTATACCATTAGAGATTTTAGATATCTCATCAACATATTTAGATATCATTACAAAACCAAAATATGGTACAGGTTCAGGTGTAAACCCTTGTAAAGATTGTCGTATTCATATGTTCCAGTACGCTGAACAGTTTAGACAGGAAATAGGAGCTGATTTTATTGTTACAGGCGAAGTTATTGGGCAGCGGCCAATGAGCCAAGTAAAACGAAACCTAAATTTTATCCACCAAAAAGCGGGCCTTGAAGAAATAATTCTCATGCCACTTTCTGCCAAACTTTTACCACCAACATTACCGGAACGTAATGGTTGGGTTAACCGTGAACAGTTATATGATATTGTTGGCCGTAGTCGTAAAGAACAATTACGGTTGGCAAAAGAATTTGGTATTCAGGATTATGAACAGCCAGCCGGAGGGTGCTGTTTTTTAACTGACGAAAACTATGCCCGGAAATTTAAGGATCTTTTTCAATTTGATCCTGATCGGCGTTTAGATTTAGAAGATGTGATTTTGCTCGGTGTTGGCCGTCATTTTCGTATGAGCGAACGTGCAAAAGTTGTCGTTGGCCGTTACCAAGAAGAAAATGCCGTTATTGAACGTCATGCAGGAAGCCGACCTATCTTACGTGCTGCCGAAGTCATGGTCCCGTGGCCGTTGTTATTGGTGTTCCCAATGTTCAAGAAGAACAATTAATGGCACGTATTGTGGCACGCTATAGCGATGGTCGAGATGACAACCAAGTTATTATTGAAAAAATAATTCAAGATCATCGGGAACATCTTGTTGTTACACCGATACAGTTAGAAGCTGTCGAACACTTAAGAATTTAAAAGCTTTGAAAGTAAGGTATTTATTATGAATAGAGATGATGTTGTAAACTTACTACGCACGATCAAGTATCCTAATTTAGATCGAGACATCATTGATTATGGTGTTGTCCAAGGTGTCGATCTTGAAGGGGAAAAAGTAAGTATAGTATTAGATATTCTTGCTCGTAACGACGAAATTCCCAATGCTGTTCGTACTGCTGTTGAAACAACGCTAAAAGAACATGGTCTTGAACCAGATATACGAATGCAGGTCAAACGATTCCCAAATGTATCGCCTAATGCAAAATCACAAACGCCACAGCAACCATTAGGACCTCATGGTACAAGTCCAGACCCATGGGCAGATCGACAACGCTTAGAAAACGTTAAATATGTTTTAGCCGTTGCCAGTGGTAAAGGTGGAGTTGGGAAAAGTACAGTTGCAGTTAATTTAGCCTATGCACTTAAATTTCGTGGTCTAAATGTAGGTCTTCTTGATGCTGATATTTATGGTCCAAGTCAACCAATTATGCTGGGCGTCAAAGATATTGAGGTTGTTGCTGATGAACAACAACGTATTTATCCTATCGAAGTTCAAGGATTAAAAACAATATCGATAGGCTATTTGATAGAAGACGAACAACCTGTTGTTTGGCGTGGGCCTCTTGTCATGAAAACGATTGAACAATTTTTACGCGGGGTTGCTTGGGGAGCATTAGATATTCTTGTTGTTGATTTGCCACCAGGGACAGGAGATGCTCAACTATCCCTTGTCCAGAAAACACCAATAGACGGTGTTATTATCGTTACAACCCCTCAGGATGTTGCCCTAGCAGATGTTATTCGTGGGCATTCCATGTTTGAGAAAATGGATGTGCCAACATTAGGTATTATTGAAAATATGAGTTATTTTGTCGCTCCTGATACGGGTAAACGTTACGAGTTATTTGATCATGGCGGTGGCCGTAAAGCAGCAACAGATCGTAACCTTCCTTTTTTAGGAGAGCTACCTCTAGATCCTAAAATTCGTAGTGGCGCAGATCAGGGTAAACCAATTGTTATCGCAGATCCTGCAAGTGAGAATACACAAGTTTTTCATGAGATTGCAGAAAAGGTGGTAAAACTTTTAGAGGAAAGTGTCCGTTTACATTAATCAAAGGGCAATATAAACCCTTATAAAAAAAATAAGCAGTAAAAATGAAGGAGTTTACAATGCAGCATATACGCATGAACTTGTTACTGATAATATTTTGTTCATTAAGTTCAACAATAGTTAGCGCTGCAGAGGTCTGGCGTCTTGATACAACACAAAGTCAGATTTCATTTGTATCAATCAAAAATGATGATATACCAGTCAAGGGGACGTTTTCTGGTTTACAAGGAAATATTAAAGTTGACTCAAAAGCACAGACAGCTCAAGGAGTCATTACGATTCCATTTAAATCTTTAGATACAGGACTACTTGTACGAGACCAAAATATACAAAATACCTTTTTTAAAATTGATAAGTACCCACAAGCGACATTTAAAATTAAATCTATAGATGGAGAGTTCGGAGAGTTAGGTAAAGAAATCGGCCATATAAAGAACTTAAAGGTTATAGGAGTACTTACGTTAGCAGCTATTGCCGTTCAAGTAGAGCTAGTTGTCCAGGCTGTAACCGGTCAAGATGGAACTGTTTCAGTCTATACAGTAGAGCCTATTCCACTTCGCTTTACAGACTTTGGCTTGAGTAACGCAGCTCAAGCGCTAAAACAAATTTGTGGCCATTCCTCGCTACTAGAATTGGCTACAGTATCTCTAAACCTCAAGCTTCGTCGTTAAAGATTAGCTGTTTTGACAGTCTGTAGACAGGAGGCTAAACTGACCTTGATATGTCTTCTTCTTTTGCTGATAGGACCTTAGGAACTGACCCATGGGTTGGGGCTGCAAATACACTATTTAATCGAGAAGCTTGGAAAGACCGGCAACAAAATTTAGTAAAGCAGCTTGAGGCATTTGACAAACTGGTTGGCAAACTAGGAACAGAGGCAAAGTTACCTTCGTCTCCCGATGAGGAACAGCGACTACAAGAAGTCATTTCAAGGCTACAGACACGTATATATACGCTTGAAGACGAACTTTTAGAAGAACATCGTCGAGCGGAAACGATTAAAAAACGATTAGACAAAGTTATACAAGAATTAGAAATATGGAAAACAAACGAACCGTTACCGTCGACTTAATGGGACAGAGTTTAACGGTTCGTACAACTGAACCGGAAGAATCTCTACAGAAAAATATTGCCCGTGTCCGGGAAGCTTTAAGTCGTATCCAGGCACAGACAGGAACTGTTGATACAGTTCGGCTATTTGCTTTAGGGTTACTTCATTTAGGAAGGGAGTTAAACGTGTTAGAACATCAATATAACGAACTGTGTGATCAAGTCAGTGCAAATTTAGAAGTTTGGGAAAAGCAACTCCATTCATTTGTCGCCTAATTTAGGTTATAAGGGTAAAAATTTACCCGTAAACTTTAGGATGTTAGAGGCGCTGAACCAATACTAAAAAATAGGGGAACTGTCACTCAGGTTCTACGCTATGCCTGTACGGAGGACAGCGAACATTCTGATACGGTACCCACTTGAAAAGGCCGGTTCTCGGCCGTCGTCCTGAAGTTTACGGGGTTTCCTATTTGTTGCTGAAGTACGAAGAACTAAATTCGTAGAAATATAGTTTGTCGTATCTTTGGTATCGGAGAACGATGGTGGATCCCAAATCATTTTTACGACAGCGTCTCTTAGTACAACGTAAAAGGTTACCGAATCTTTTACGACAACGCTGGAGTGCGCGTATTGTCGAGCTGGTATATCGCCTTCTTAAGGCACCTCCGTATAAAGTCATAGCTGCCTATTTACCAACATCTACAGAACCAAATATTTTACCTTTAGTAGAACGTTGGTTGAGATTAGGAACAACAATCGTTATTCCTGTTTGTAAAAACCAACAATGGGCCTGGCATCGTCTAACCCAAATGCCAAATAAGTCAATAAAGCCACACAAGATACCGAAGACGTTATATGCTGAAGAGCTTCAGCCTCATATCGCACTGGTTCCGGGTGTTGCTTTCGACTACTTTGGAAGACGGCTGGGTCAAGGTGGTGGTATTTATGATCGCCTTTTGGCACATTCCCATATTCAAGCATATGGATGTGCCTTCCCTTTTCAACTTGTTTATCAAGTCCCTGTTGATACCTGGGACAAAAATCTTGCTGGTATTGTGACACCAATAGGTATTGTGATGTCTCTTTCCGCAAAGATGAATTATATAAAAGGAGTATCGAATAATGGAACAGCAAACAGTATCAATACTGCTAATCAGCGTGTTAGCCTTAATCGGCGGCGTTTTAGGGTACCTTCTTGCCCGAAAGGCCGCAGCTTCCGCAGTACTCGAAGCAGAGCGTCGTGCTGAAACGATTGTTGATGCAGCAGAAGGTAAGGCTGAGTCTCTTACTCAGAGTATACAAAAAGAAATAGAGACTCTAAAAAAGGCTGCTATTGTTGAGGGTAAAGAGGCTCTACAAGCAGATCGTGACCTATTTGAAAAAGAAACACGCGAAATAACATCGCAGCTACGTGACCGTGAGCGAAAATTAGATCAACGAGAAGAAGAAATTGATCGCTTGCGTCAACGGTTAGAGCGTAAAGAAGAAGATTTTGAAAAGCGCGGAGAAGAACTTGCAGATTCTTTAAAATCTGTTGAAGCAGAATTGTTACAGTTAGACGAACAGCGTAAACAATTAGAAACGTCGCTAGAAAAAGTAGCCAATATGTCGAGCGAAGAAGCTCGTCGTGAATTATTAAAACAAGTTGAAGAGCGGGCTAAATTAGATGCAGCACGCATAGGACGTGATCTTGAAGAGCAAGCAAAAGAAACAGCCGACCGAAATGCTCAAAAAATTATAGCAAGCGCTGTTAATCGTTATGCTGGAGAGTATATTGCTGAACGAACAGTATCGGTAATCCCTATACCTGATGACCAAATGAAAGGTCGTATTATTGGGCGAGAAGGTCGTAACATTCGTACCTTTGAAATGATTACAGGAGTTGACCTTATTATTGATGATACCCCAGACCATGTTGTCATTAGCTGTCACAATCCATTACGTCGAGAAGTCGCACGCCTCACACTAACAAAGTTAATAGAAGATGGCCGTATCCAACCCGGAAGAATTGAAGAAGTTTACCATTCTGTTACACAAGATACCGAAAAAGAAATTCGTGATGCTGGTCAACAAGCAGTTTTTGATTTAGGTCTCCAGGGGCTTCATCCAGAACTAGTCCGTATTATGGGAATGAATAAATTTCGTACTAGCTTTTCCCAAAATGTGCTTTTACATAGTTCTGAAGTTGGCTATTTATGCGGAATGATGGCTGATGAGCTAGGACTAGACGGCCTTTTAGCCCGTCGGTGCGGCTTTCTACATGACATTGGCAAAGCGATTGATCATGAATTTGAAGGTAGCCATCAACAAATTGGGGCAGAATTATGTAAAAAATATGGTGAAGAAGAATCAGTGTATAAAGCTGTAGCAGAACACCATGACGATCCGCCATCAACTATTTATGGCGTGCTTGTCCAGGCAGCCGATACGCTAAGTGCTGCACGCCCTGGAGCACGTCGAGAAACAGTTACCAATTACATTAAACGCATGGAAGATTTAGAAAACATGGCGACTCAGCATCCAGAGGTTACACGCGCATTTGCTATTCAGTCTGGTCGAGAGCTGCGTGTCATTCTTGATGCCGAACGTAGTAATGATGATCAGGCTTACCAATTGTCTAAATCTATTGCAGCACAAGTTGAAGCCGAACTTAAATATCCTGGCCAAATAAAAGTTACGGTATTGCGTGAAATGCGTGCAACCGCCTATGCGAAATAACATAGATAAACGGAAAGATTAGCGGTGATAAAAGAGTTTCCAGCTGATTGTACACCAGCCGAACGTAAAGAATTAGATCGGCAATTAACGATACTATTACGTGGCGTTGTCCAGCATATTCCTGATGGAGGAATTGTTGAGCGTGTTCTAAATAGTATCCGAACCCGACAGCCCCTACGGGTCAAAGCCGGTTTTGATCCAACTGCGCCCGATTTGCATCTTGGTCATGTTGTACTTTTACAAAAATTACGCCAGTTTCAACAATTAGGCCATCAGGTCATTTTTCTCATCGGTGACTTTACCGCTCGAATTGGTGACCCTACTGGCCGTAGTGAAACACGTCCACCACTATCATCAGAGACAATCGCTGAAAATGCACAAACCTATAAAGAACAAGTTTTTCGTCTATTAGATGAAACGCAGACAGAAGTTCGATTTAATTCTGAATGGATGGATAGTATCCCAAGTACAGAATGGATTCAGGTAGCCAGCGTTATGACAGTTGCCAGAATGTTAGAGCGTGAAGACTTTCATACACGCTATCAAAAAAATCAACCGATCCGATTACATGAATTTCTTTATCCATTAATACAAGGCTATGACTCTGTTGCCCTCGACGCAGATATTGAATTAGGAGGCACAGACCAAACATTTAACTTACTTGTTGGTCGAGATGTACAAAAATTCTACGGTAAAAGACAACAAACCGTTTTGACCTTACCCCTTTTAGAAGGTGTTGATGGCGTCCAAAAAATGTCAAAATCTTATGGTA